GATGCATTTAAGATAGAGAGTTTGGGTAAAGAAACTGTGACTATTAGGTTTCAGAATTAGTTTATTATTCAATCAGAAAAGGTAATATATCAACTAGGTTTCCAATATATAACACTTTTTTTCTTCTGATGCAAAATATAAAATAATAATAAACTTTGATGCTAAAGAAAAAAGGGGATGTGTATTGTCATTAATGCATGTTTAAAAAATCGAGGTTATTATTACATTAGAGAAAAGATATTGGAGTAGATCTCGTTTAAAGGGAGGAAGCCCGCCGGCCCTAAACCCCTCGCAAGGCAAGGATGATGGTTCGATCTCACTACTCAATATTACTACTAAGTTTCCGACCCCAAGATTAAGAGTATCAACGGCTACAATACCACGCATATCATCTAAATAACACGCTTTTTTTGCCATACTTCTATCAAAAATAATTTTAAATTGGTTCCAGATTTCTGTTATATCGGAAAATGAACGCTGGCTCGAACTAGAGGAAGTTTCGGAATAATCATCATCGTTTTGTTGATCCGGTAAGTTGTTTCGAAGTTGAATAACCTCGCTTTGGAGTGATACAATAGATTCCTCGATTGATTCGATTTTGGACGCAATTTCATTAAACATATTGTTATGCGCAGAAAGGTCGGCATTAAGTTCGGAATTATCCCCGCCTTCTCACATACAGTATATGTTCGAAGCCAGATTATTGTAGTTGTCAATATATTATTGCATAGCAATGTGACTTTGTCCCTATCTTTAACTAGATGACTACATATCTTTTTTCGAACGTGAGAGAAAAAAGGAGAATAAAACGTGTCACTAAAGATCAAGTAAATTGATATTTTCTCCACGAATAACAATAGGCCTGCAAAGTCCAAGAATGGTGCGATCCTCGGAACAATAAGCGATGTCATCTATAAATATATACACGAGTGTGTGGGGTGTCGTACAAACAAACGAAAAGTGTACCTTAACTCGTATTTTTTGCCGAAGGCAGTTACAAGAAATTATTATGTAGAGAAGATTAGCCTTGCTGGTTCCACTAATACCAAATGTTCTACTCCCTTGATTCGTTAATTGTGGGTAGGCAAAGAATTTTTACAACCTTTTTATAACTGCGAAGAAAAAAAAATATCAGATCGGGGTAAAGGGTGGCAAAATTCCAGAAGCTTAATAATCAGAACGTTAACCTGTGGCGAAAGATAATAAAATATAATGGGAATAGCCCAGAATCTAATGACATTTATTTCTCGTAGTACCAACTTCAAAAAATTCAAACAATAAACCGATCTTCTAACTAACCAGATTAATTACATGAATTAACCAGTCGTGATTGCGAATGAAAGTATTTACAACACCAACTGTTTATTCAATTTGGAATAGCCCTCTTATCTTTTAGGGAACGTGTATTTACTTAACAAAGAAGCTCTGCTCCGATATACAGTAAATATCAACATTAGAAAATTTATATAGATAGGGCCTAGCCCATTACTTTGTAATAATAGACTCTTTAAGCCAATAAGTATACAATCCTTACCATTTATATCTATACACGTGTTTTTACCCGGATAGATCATTGCCTAATACAGTATCATATTTTGTCTGTGCGTTTATACATTCGTAAAACTAACGTAGTTAAATCAGTCAATCATGTTGATGCTGGCAAAAAATCTTTATTGATACAAATAAAATATTACATGTGAAGCGAAAAATCTATTCAGTTATTTTTAGATAATTTTTTTTGATTCTGACCCTCTTACTGGTAAGGAAATTATCAACCGTTATCTGATCCTTTAATAATCCAACAATAACACCTAGCACTCGTTTTACTCCTTTTCGGATCAATTCAAGATCTTCTTTGAAAGCGGTCTTCAAGAGATTTATTGGGTATCCACTTTTACTAGTACAATAAAGACCATCGGCAGGAAACATAATAAAGTGTCATTCTGTAGCTAAGATATAAAAAACGTTTTCTATTAGTGAAGCCAGCAAAATAAGGAATTTTAGAATATTTGTAAATGACCATACCTGTAGAAACTATTCCGTAAAGGTAGTCGTAATCATTGTTTCGAAATGCTTGATCCACAGTACACTTCTTATTTGTGTAATATGTGCTCTATAGTTGCTCGATATTCTGTAGATATCTGATTTCAACGTTACGAGGCTTACCCTCTGAAGATCATCTTTCCCTTTATAGTATAATCAATACTTCCTGACGCCTCTTCTCCTGAAACATCTTTTTGATATGATATGTAGAGTACTTCTTCATTGGTAGGTCTCCGAATTATGGCGAGTGATGCATTTAATATCATGTGGCTTCATTATCACTAGCTAACATTGTCTTCAAATTCAAAAGCCTCAATGTTATTTTTCTCATGCACTGCTCAAGCACCTTATCGTTGCCATCGATTTCCTCAAATATTACACCGTCTCCCAAAAAGAACGCAACACCTGATCGTCGATCTTTAAGTGTTAAAATTTTGATCAGATCAGATCAAATCACGGCGAAATTAACAGTATATACAGTGTATAGTCTAATCTATTCAGTGTATACGGTAGAATAATGATTAAAATAATAAAAAAAATTTTTATGATGCAATTAATAAAAATTTACTGTTGCGCGATTTTTGGCGTTTTTGGATAAAAATATAAAAATGCAAAAATTTACTCAAACCTTGTATAAACCAAATGTCCTTAAGACAGTTATCAATAGAGAAGAGGATAAAGGCTATTATCTTATTAGAAGAAGGTTATAGTTTATGTCAGGTTGTTGTCAAAATTGGCAACAATGTTCATTATTTCACTATATCTAGACTTAAAAAAAAATATCTTGAAACAAACAAAACAAATTAGAAAATAAACCTATTCCTAGTCATCCGCCTAAACTTACTCTACATGAGGAATGTATTATTATCTGAAAAATCCTAAAAAAAGAATGCAAAACAGCCATGGATATATATAGATCCTTGAAAAAATATGAAAAAATAAATATTAGTGTCAACACAATTTGAAGAATTCTTAAGAAAAATAGATTTAAAGCTTATACACGGTGCAAGAAACCTTTTTTAAGTAAAACACATAAAAAAATCTGATTAGAATTTGCAAAATTACATAGAAATTAGACTATAGAAGATTGGAGTATGGTGGTCTGGTTTGATGAAACTAAATTTCAACTTTTTGGAGCCAAAGGATGCAAATATTGCTGGAGAAAATTTACAGAACCTTTAAAGGATCAACATATAATTCCTACAACTAAATTTAATAAAGATAGTATTAATATTTGGAAATGTCTTACTTATTATGGCACAGAATATTTATCTAGGATTAAAGAAAATTTTAATGCAAAACTTTATAAACAAATTTTGAAAGAAAAATTAATGTATTCATTAAGATATTATAATTTAGCTCCCAAAGATATTATATTTTAACATGATAATGATCCTAAACATAAGGCTAAAATAATTCAAAGATGATTAAAAAATAATAAAATTAGAACTATTTCTTGGCCATCAAAATCTCCAGATTTAAATCCAATAGAAAATATCTGGAATTGTAAAAAGAAGAGTTAATAATTTAGAGATTAATATTAATGATAAAGAAACTCTCTAGGATAATTTATTGAATATTTGAAATGAAACATTTGAAAAAACTTGTAAGGAATATATAGAAACAATGCTTAAAAGAATTAATGATATTATTAAGACAAAAGGTGATTATATAAGATGGTAATAGAAATCAAATATATTTTTATAATTATATGTATATATTTTTTATAAATAAATATATTTTTTTATTTTTTTTAAAAAACTCCAAAAATATTGCAACAGTAAATTTTTTAAAATTTATCCTAAAATTTTTTTTTATTAATTTAATATCTATTTTAATTTATACATTATTTAAGCATACTTATATTTTATCTATAGTATAAATTTCATATTAATCTGATTTATCCTACTTAAAATTTTAGCATTTGAAGATCGCCGATCAGGTGTTGCATTCTTTTTGGGAGACGGTGTATATGATGAAATGTCATTCCATAGCTAGAGGCGGAGCCACATTGTTTCACAATAAGACAAATTTGATTATTAGCTAAAAAAAAATCTGAAGTGGGACTTTTGGTCCCAAGAAAAATATATACAGTATCACATACTGTACATGTTAAAGATAGACATTATGTAAGTGCCATTTATTAATCATCGATAAACTAATAATTCATTAATAGAAGAATTAAAATTTCAAATTTCGTCTATCTCTTGGCTATATATATAACTATACTATGTTTCTGAAAAGCTGTTCCGCGATTTCCTCAAAGGTGACATGTGCTACATCAGGGAATTCACGAACTTTTCTCGAGTGATTTGGAATTCCAGGACTACCTCGAATATAGACAATACGAAATCCAGGCACGCATGTGTCATTTCTGATAACAACAAACCTATTTTGTAAATCTATTGTAGCAGAATGACCAGGACCATATATCTCATCCAAATACATCTCGATTTGGTTTCTTCCATTAATTTGCATTTGAGAGATACCAGCTTGTGCAGACATTCTTTCAAATGCTTTCCTGATGCTTTTTGTTGGTTTGCTGTTATGTGTTACGAAGTCACTGATAGATACCTGTATGAATATAGGTCCGAGCATGTAATCGAATCGAGGATATCTGTCAAAGCTGCGACTTAAGACTCTATCAAAATCAGGTCCAAGGGATAAGTCAGAAGAATTGATTACAGCATAGTCATCAAACTGGAGTGTAACGATGCTTTTATTATTATTATTGAGATCCGTTGTATTGAATTGTATTGCTTTGCCAGATTTGCACACAAGTCGATTGAATAAGGCTTCCTCAAATTGATCTTCATTCAGACTTCCTATATTGAGTTGATGTTTTATATTTTCAGGTAAGTCAAATGACATATATACTTTTAATAGAGCTTTCCGGGCAGATGGGCATAGAGGGAAGTAATGAACATCCATGTCCTGCGGCCCCATGTACCGATAAATCAATCCAAGATCCAAGAATTTCCACTCAAAATGCACGATTGATTTACTGGGAAGAAACATGCTTGTAAGAGAATCATAGTAACGAATTTTTTCATTCTTATAGAGACTATTATAATAATTTTGAGAAATAACCAAAATCCGATCAACCCGATCCTTCTCAAATCGTTTTAGTACCTTTTGAAAGTCGCATACATCGGTAGTATTAGGATCGAGATCCTGAACATACTTAACAAGGTGCATAAGTTCACGTGGCACGCAATTTGTAACCGTTATTGCTTCTTCTTTAATGCCTGGTTTACTCAGAAGGGGGTGCATCTGTAACAACATATCAAATACATCCCCCCTCTAGTGGAGCGACATAGATTACCCACCATTGACTCATGCCACTTTTCATGTATACCATCTCATATTTAGCATGTGCAGTTCCCGTGAAGATTACACATACACCTTTGTGATGTCCAGTCCAAAAAGTAAGATTCATCAGAGGTCCCAAAATATGAAGTCTTTCAGGTACTGGATCCTTTTCAAATAATGCACCATGCTCATCAATAATTAAGAGAGTTTTTCGATATACTTGTTTGAGTAGTTCTCCTAGAATTCTTCTCGCAATATTACTAAAAGAACAATCAACATCTTTTTCATTTTCCATAAGCAGTTTAAACTCGGCGCCAGTCAAAATATTCTTATTAAGAGTCAGGAAGTATTCGCAAATCACTCTTCCTGCTTCCTCTGATGTGTTTCTACATAGTTCAGATGCATCTGCGATGTAGAGCATCAGCCACCCTTCCACATAAGCTTTAGCTGCAAGGAAATAGATAATATACGATTTATCCACGCCCATTGGGCCTGAAAGAACACGCTTAATTGAACGGTCACTATCTGCTGAAATCATGTCCCATATGTCAATCATCTGCCTAGTAACAAGCAATAAGTTTCCTTGATAATTTTCAGCGAAGTATTTAGGTTTCTGACCAAGATGTGGCAGGGTAATTGATTGGCGAGCACTAAGGTTCTGGAAAACATTTTGAAAATCGATACACTTATCAGGTACGAATCTGTCACTTTCAAGCATTTCAATTATTTGGGTGGCAATTCTACGGAGTGACCATCAGAGGCGGTGTATGACTTCCAACCCTGTTCTATTCGACGTTTCTTTAAAGGATTCTCTAAAGCGCAATATGATAAAAAGAAGGTAAGTTGGTATTTGATAAATATATCACAACGCAAAAGGTCACGCGTTTACTCGTGTTAACTAAATTTACTTACCGGGTTCGACTATGACATGGATATGCCTCATGGGTGGCTTCTCGGACCAGTAATCCTCTACATATAGGACTGCAAGGAGTTCGTCTCCGTCATTGAGTGTGAGATTGCTTAAGAGATCGTCATAATAAATAGGAATTTCTACCTTCCATAGCTTTAGATCTTTGGCGTTAACACTAGAGAAAGTTTGTGCATTTTGCGCCTTAATAGCTTCCTTTAGTTCACTAATAGGTTCACCTCTGCTTATTTTAACAGAGAAAGCCTTTACGATCATACTTCCTTTGATAAGACATAATAAAGTGATAGGCATGTTTGCTACAAAACAAAAATTAAACAAACGATGATCGTTATATACTTAATAACTATTTATACTGTACAATATAGTATTAAAAAAAATTTTTTTGGATATTAAGTGAGGAATTTCTCGTGATCTTTATTAATAGAGTAATTGTAGTATTACATGATTAATATTAAGATACTAAGATACATCATTATACTGTATATGTTAGCCTACCACTATTCTAAGTATATTTCTAGTAAAAAACCCATGAGGCAAGGAAAAGAGAAAGTAACTACTTAATCTTGAGGGCTAATGCTTCTCTAATAATTTATTTTATCCTATAGAGACATGAATAAATTTTGAGAAAATAATTAAAGGATTATGTTAATTAGTTTGTCATTTTGGTTTATATTGTTGGTTGTTAAATTGGTTGTTGTTGTTTGTTAATGTTGCTGGTGTTGATGTTTTTTGTTTTTCTGTGTGTTGTGAGGTTTGTTGTTATTTTTTTTTTGTATTTGGTGTTTTGTAATACTGTATATCTAGAAATTTTTCTTCTGCAATCATTTCTTGGTTCCTGGATATTTATATTTGTGTATATAGCAGCTTAGGTGTTTTGTTTTGAATTTCATTGATATTTTTGAGATCAGTTTATATTGGATTGGAATTTTTGAAAAGTATATTTGATTGAAGGATACCTGTTACAAAGTTGGTAATGTGAATATTAGTATTTAGTAGATTTTGTATTTACAATATTTATTTTTTTTTTGTAGATAAATATTTTTTCTTTATTTAATTTGTATGATAATAGATATATATCATAAAATAAACAACATTTCTCATATGTAATAGCACAACAAGTTAAATGCTAGCTTGTCTATAATAACTACTAGACTAATATTGAAAATAAATTTTAAAATATATATCTTATCAAGAGGCTCCAAGCAGCTATAATTATCTATTTAGCATTGAATGGAAAAAAGTTAAAATAGTCTAAAATTAGTTTGATAATACATTTAATAAAATTAAATTTACTTTGAATATATAAGTCTGCAACTATGATAAGTATATTTATAATCGTTAATATTAGTATAAAAGGAAAATTGTTGAATAATTTAGGCTTGATTATGTTTTTGATAGTTTGTTTTGATATATTGTTATAAAGATTATTGTTTCATTTAATATTAATAAGAGAAGAGGTATTTGCTATAGCACAACAAGATATTTAAATTGATTTGTATAGGTGGGTTAAGGTCTCAATTGATGCTTTAACCTAGTTGGAGAAGTTGGTTATGGAAAATATATTGTTAGTAATATCACATATTAGTTCTGTTAACTTCCAGGCATGTGAAATTAGTTTGTAATTATCATTAGAATAAAAAATATTATTGATAATGTTAATAAGTTAACTAATATTCTTTAATACTAATGAATATTTGAAAATATATTGAATGTCTTTAATATGTAGATTATACTTGAAACAGTATAAATTTGAATACTGATTTGAATATAGAGGAATTTTTTTTATATAAAATCATTCCTGAAAATAGTTTAATTCTGAAAATAATAAAATTGCTATATTTGTTGACTTTGCAACTTTTTTTTATTAGATTTATTGATGATTTTAAGGCCATAGAGTTTGTAAGTATATTGAAATATTTTTAGAATCAAAAAGCTTTTACAGATTATATAAGTCTTAATAATACTTAGAATTTTTTATATTATCTAATGCTGCTGTCTAACTATATATTGTTAATTAGTAGATTTTTAAAGAAGTGAAATAATAAATTGATCCATTGAAAAGTATTATTAGATTTCAAGTTGAACTTGAAAATAGTATATTTGATTTAAATTGATTTGTCTTATATTAGTTTATTAATTCTTAGTATTATTGAAGTAAAATTATTTTTTCTTATTTTTTTAAGTAATTAAAGACTTTTTAAAGAATTTTCTTGTTATTTCTTATTTCCATGATATAATTTGATGTGCATCATTATAAGATGTCTATTATTATATTATCAGAGAGTAAAAATCGTGATGTGATGCCAGTTACATGATTAATCATTGTGATAGTACTGCAAAGAACCTGTTTTGATCTTGGTACTCAAGATGATATAGAGAAAAAATATAGGTAAAAGTGATGAAAAATAGTTAAAATAATAATAGAATAGTATGTTAGGAAATTAAGTAATAAGATAAGGATCATGAAAAATGATTAAATAATATAAATTATTATGATTGAGCATTATGTAATTAGAAAGAGACATAAGAAGACTCTGGATAATTAATGTTATCTTTACTTTTTAGTAGAAAAACTGTTTCAAAAAAATATATAAAAGAAAAGAAAAAAAAAGTAAATAAAGGATATTGTCTGATTAATTAAATTATCTTTTACTCAATCAAATTGTACATGCCTTAAATTTCACTAAGACTTCTTATCTTATTGATAGTTATATAACATTCTGCCCAATTTAGTAACTGACTTCCTGATTGATCATCACAATATGAAGAAGAAATATTTTGGATTAATTGGAACAATTTTTATACTGTTTATAAAGATCTTGTTCTAGTGAAGTTAAAAATAGTATTGTTAGTAGAAATTAATTCTTTGAAGTGCTAAGATGAAAAGGAGATAGAGAAATTATTAATAAATTGAAAGATGTCTTCTTCTTATTAAAATATAATAAACAGTTTATTAATTATGTTATATAATCGATATTTGTTTGAATTGTTCAAATTGAAAACTATTTATAATAAAGATAATAATATAGTTAAAATTGTATAGATACCAGAATAATGGCTTGGAGTTTGATACTAGATCATAAGTTCCAAAAAGATTATTTAAATTGTTGAAATTTTTAAACCAGTTAAGCTCAGGTTTATAATATACTTAGGACTTTGAAAAATACCAAACTGATATTAAAATAATATTGAAATAGTACTAATTTATAGTAAATTTCATATATAGGTTATAATACACTCATATGATTTTATAGTAAATTTAGTATTGAACTGGTTATTAAAGAGATATCAAAATGGTATTGTTAGAAGCCCTTAATGTATTATTCCTATATATGATATAAGTTGAAGTTATAAAAGCTTTTTTGTACTGTTGTGCTTTAAAAATTAATTAGTAAATTTAATATTTAATGCATTTGCATATTAATTGTTATAGTTTTATTAAGAAATTATAGACTTTTAAATAAACAATCAATAGAGTTTTTGGTATTTCTGAGATATGTTGAGCAATCAGTTAAACATATTTGATTTTTAAAATCTTTTATGATTTTGGCTATATATGTAATTCAGTTGTCCTGGCTAAATTTTTTTAGATAGAAAATTAAGCAAAACCAGATTGATTTGTTTCTAATTAGTATCTCCATATTGATTGGCTTTATTTTGAACAATTATTGAATTATTATTAATATCTTCAATAAATAGTCTTCAAAAGTTTATAGTTTTATAAGAAGCTTTATAATATTTGACTAATAAATTCAAGATTTTAAAAGATACAATTAAATTTAATTTTTCAAAATGCAATAGTTTGTCAGAAAATTAATTAGATCCATTGATAACCATCCTTTAAATAATATATATATTGTTTAAGAATTGGTATGGTTTATCTGCTAAAAATTGATCTGATATTTAATTGATTATTTAAAATTTTAAGTTCTATATTATTATAATAAGATATGGTTAGCATATTAATTTGATAATTATTTATTAATTTTTATATTAGTTTGGACTCAATATTCAATAACTATTAGGCAATAATTCTAAATTTAAAATTTGTTATAATATTATTTTACAAATATTAATTATAAAAAAATCTATCTAATAAATCATTTATTTATTCAAATAAAAAATATTAAAAAGCATATAATGGCCTATAATTATTATATATATGCATTTATACAAATATAAAAAAAGATAAAAGTTTGGTATAATTTTTTTTCATCTTATTTTTTTTTTTATAAATAAATATTATTTCTTTATTTAATTTGTATAATAATAGATATATATTATGAAAGAAACAATATCTCTTATGTGTAATAGTACAATGAGTTAAATACTAGCTTGCCTATAGTAATTACTAAACTAATATTAAAAAGAAATTTTAAAACAATATATCTTGTTAAGAGTTATGATTACCTATTCAGTATTGGATAAAAGGAAATTAAAATAGTCTATAATTAATTTGAAAATGTACTTGATAAAATTAAATTTGCTTTTGTTTCTGATATAACTCCAGTAATAAGCTTACAAACTCTAATCCAAACTGGCAACAGCGACTCCATCACACAATATAAAGATATTAATTCTAAGCTGATCTATCCCAATCTGGAGCTTATAGATTTATCCCAATGGCAGTGTTCCACAGAACTTAATCATATGACTGAAGGACAAGGTATCAGCCACAGGTGGTGAGAAGACTAGACAAAAATTATTAAGCCAAGTGAGTCTAGTGAGAATTTACAAGATTAAATCAAAATCCAAGCAAGGACACCAGTTCTACAGGTGGTGAAAACAGT